TGCTCCTGGCTCTGCCCCTGGCTCTGCCCCTGGCCCCCACCCGAAATATACCTCAGCCTCGACGGCGCCGGCGAGTCCACGAACCGTACGAGGGCAACGACGGTCTTGGCGACGCGCGCGAGCGACTCGGGGGTGCCCTCGATGAGGTCGTCCCGCTGGAAGAGGTCCTCGTTCGGCAGCCCGTACGAGGCGCACGCGGCGAGGAACCGCGTCACGTTGGTGGTCCGCACGAAGCCGTCCTCACGCGCGTCGGGGCGAACGACGGAGCTCGACCGTAGTTTGTTCATGAGCCTGGAGTTGGGTGGAGACGAGGGTTAACATCGCGGACGATGGAGGAAAAGGATGGAAGGTAAAGAAAGAGGGTAGGAGGTAAAAAGGTACGCAAGGAAGAAAGGACGGAGAAGGGAAAGGTATATGCTAACAAGCAGGGGCAGACCGAAAAGAACACCAAAAAACAAATCAAACAAAAAAACGAAGCACGCACTGGCAAAGCACATAACCATCCCTCAACGCCTCGCAAAACAATTTCCTCTCCCTTTCCTCTCCTCCTGTTCCTGCTGCCCCTCCTACTCCTCCACTTCCACTCGCATTCAAGTTCGTACTGCTCCCTCCTGCCCCAAGCCCACTCTTCCCCCAGACCCTCTCCAACCTCGCCAATCCTCTCAACCTCACCTCCACCTCCTCCCAATCCCTGACACCCTGCTCCGTGCGCGCAACGTGCACCGGGGGGCGTGCCATCTCCCTACACAGCATCGAGCTCGCCGTCCGGATCAGCTCTCTATAGCCTTGCTCTGGAGTTTGGTTAAGGGCAGGGGCAATTAAGGATCCCGAAGAGATGTTGAAGTGTCGATTCTGCGCGTAGGAGCGCTGCGTGGGAGATACGGCCCGGGGGCGGATGGGCGAGGGCGACGGGGGTGAGGGCGACGGGGGTGGTTGTGCGTGTGCATATGGATGTTGGTGCGGTTGTGAGTATGGGTGTTGTTGATGTGGCTCAGGTCGGTGTCGGTGCCCTAGGGGCGAGTCTCTCGAGGAGGGCCTGTCTGCCGTCGACGGTCGTCTCGTTGGCGTCTCCATGTGTCTCCGCGAGTGTTCACCGGAAGGACGTCGGGGCGTCGCTGGGGTGGTCGTGGCATCCGCGGGAGAAGATAAAGGGAGGTGCGAGGCCGACGACGAGGTCAGCCTGTGGGTCCTCCCAGCAGGAGGCGTCACGACGCGGATGCGCGCTGCAGCTGAGGGCGAGAGCGGGCGGGTGCTGGTGCTGGTGGACGGGCTCGATGCACGTGGTGTTGCAGGGTTGCTCGAGTTGGAGTTGGGCACCAACGTCCTCGAGCGAGAACGCGGAGGAGGTGTCGGTGTGGCGGGGGGCGTGGCGGGCTCTCTGTCTCGCTCTCGATCTCTATAGGTCCTACCACCGCTACTACTGCTCGGTGTCGGCGTCCTCGGCGGGTGTTGGTAGAACTGCAGCGAGGGGGACGAAGGAGAGGGGGGAATTGGGACGCCAGGAGTGTAGGACTTGGTCGATCGGTGGCCCTTCCTGACGACAGCGGCAGGATCGGCAGCGGTGGTGGCAGAGGACAGGGGGGCAGGCGCCGAGATCTCGCGTGATTGCGGTGGCTGGGTACTGCTGGTACGCCGGGATCGGTGGCGAGCGGGCGAGGCGAGGGCTTCGGCGTGCGAGGAGGAGGAGGCTGCGACGGCCGGCTGGGAGCGTGGAGAGGGGAGGGCCTGCGAGGAGAGGTGCAGGGCGGGCGAGGACATGGAGGCTTGTCGCAGAGAGGGTGTCAGGAAGCTCGTGAAGCCTGCCATGCGCCCCTTGTCCCTGGCATCGCTGGGCGGGACGGGCGACGGCGAGGGGGTCGCTGACGGGGTGGGGGTGGTGGACTCGCGGTGGTCGCGGTCGCGGTCGCCCCGCCGGAAAGTGACCCGCCGTAGAACATTCAGCTTGTCTCTTTCCTTCGGAGGTGGGGATGCCGCCTCCTCGCGCTCTTTTTCTTTGAACCTGACCCTTTCCCTTTCCCTCTCCTTTCCCTTGCCCTTGCTGCTGCTCTTGACACCCAAGGTCGCAAACTCGTCGACGGTCGCTGGGGGCTGTGGTGGGGGTTTCTTTGAGCGCGTCGCGGTGCGCAGGCTCTGCTCGAGCGTGGAGCGGATGCGGTGGAATGTCCTGGATGACGTCTCTGGGGGCGAGGCGGAGAGTTCGGGGGACTGTGTCGAGCGCGAGGAGGAGGAGGATGGGATGGGTGAGTTTGCAGCGAGGCGTTGGTTGGAGGCTTTATGGAAGGGAGAGCTAGACTTTGGGCTCTGTACTGCAGCGGCGGCCATGGGTGCTCATGGGAGAAAATAGTGCAGCGGAGGAGGGAGTTGCAGCTGCTGGGTGGAGTCAGCTGGAGAGTCGGGCGGGGACCACTGTGGGTCGAGGAGGAAGGGGGAATGGGGAGCGGGAAGGGGCGAATAGTTTGGCGCCGTGAGGTGGTGACAGGGACCCGCAACGAGGCAGTCCGAGTGACGCGATAAATGTGAGACCTTTTTCTGATAAAACCGCTTGTTCGCGCGCTGGTCTGTCTGGAACGAAGACTTGCCGTACAGCTGACCCGGTGTGCGCAGACGCATTCATTCGGGAAAAGCCCGCTCGTCCTTCTCTCTTCGATGCATCAGGCATGACGCACTTTTCCCTCAGCAACTGGACATCAATTACCCCACGACCACAAACTCCGACGCCAAGAGCCCTCTTTCAAAGGACACTCTCTCCCGATGCTCACCTCCCCCGGATGGATCAAGCTACCCCTTTTCGTCCCCGCCGTGTAGCGCCAACACAGCCCATATTGTCAGCAAGCCCGTCAACTCTGACGCACTCCTTCCGTCCCGTTCTGTCCTTTCTCCATGGGGATACGACCCTGCTCGAGCCAGCCCGCCTCCTCCCCTACCTCTCCGACAACGGAAACAGTCCTACAGCCAACAAACGTGTTTCGTCCAGCGCAAGCTGCGAGCTTTGGGCTTCCTCGGCTAGCGTGCCAGCGCGTCCCCTAGTCTAGTACTTATACTTATACTTACCTTACTTGCTAGCCGAGCGAAGCCGCTTGGAAAAAGACTCTGACCCTGCCTGCCTACCTCAAGCTCAAACGTTTAAACGGTATCACAAACCGGCACGCGTGCTCATTTACACCCAGAGCGACAGAGAAGCACCACCATCATCATCGATATCCATGGATATCCAGATTGTCCATTCGCGTTCGCGTTATCCTTTACGACACGGCTCAACTAGTCACAAGCACACCCCTCCTGCGGACCGAACGCTGCTCATCAGTGTCATCACTGATCCTTCGTCCCTTCTTGGGATCCCTTGCCCCCGTGCGTCCCCTTCCATCCGAGCACGAACTTTTCGAAGGTCTTCTTTTCTGTGTCTCGCGGAGTTTTTAGGATAAGTCGCAGAGCAGGAGTTAGGAAGGAATCAGGAATCAGGATGCGAATGTGGGTGGCCTCAGGCTGTGATGGGACGGACATTTAGGCGTCGGCTTCGAAAGCTCGAATGAGGGTCGCGGTCGCGGGCCTGCATCCACCCGCGTCGACGACCCATCCACGCTCACGCTCGGAGTCGATTCCACGCCATCGGACGGACATGTTCGTAGATAAGCACACCAGTCACCCGTTCGGTCATTGAATCATTCACTGCCAGGTCAGGCTGAGGACATCTCCAAACATAGCTGCCCAAGTGCCGGGGAGCTGGCTAGACACGTTCTACTACTCTCAGAGGCCCCATTATCATCGATTTCATGTTCCATTGACATGTCAATCACAGTAGAGTAATCATAGTACAGAGCCAATGTCCCCACTCTATAGGATTGGACGTAGAACCCCGAGTCGATGCCGTTGCCCATACTAGAGCAGGTGCGAATGGCGATGACGAAGCCCGATTGCATGTGCAGGTGCCATATTTTGAACGCGAAGCCGAATACGAAGCCGTGTCCGACTGACTCCAACACCATTGGCGAGGTGTCGAGCGGTCGAGCACGCGCAAGAATAGAGCAGGCCCTGCTCAGTGATCAGTCCTAAATGACAGGACACCACTGATAGCATTGATAACGCGGCAGCAGCTAGTGGGAATGGACTTGGACGAGGGCTTGGGAGTGTACCCTACAAAAGTACAATGGACATGCGACGGCGTTCGAAGATGTTTCAAAGAGCATGAAGGAAGGACGCGCCCCACCCGGCGGGTGTGAGATTGGCGAGTTTGATTGTCTAGGTACGTATGGAGCGCTTCATTGAAGGAAGACTGAGCTTGAGCCTGTTGACCCACTGAGAGTCTGAGAGCCTGAGCCTGAGAGTCTGAACCTGAGACAACGTATGTAGCTATGGGACGGCCAAGTTCGAAGGTCGAAGAGCGCCCGCGTCCCACCCGGCTGGAGTGAGATTTCCGAGTCTGGACTGAGCTTGAGCCACTGAGAGTCTGAGAGTCAGACAGTGCCAGGCAATGGCGACTGAGATTACGGCCATGAGCATGAGTACGCGTCAGGTGGGGCACGGGTGGCGTCCGTACCCTGTCCTGTCCATACGCATGCCGTGGCCAGCCGTTTCAGATCCTTGAGAAAACGAGACATCGATAATTATTGCGAACTGGGAGATGAGAAGAACAAAGACGGGTTAGCTAGACATTTGGAGACTCGTTGCAAATTCGAATCTGGATCTGCGTACCGTCGTGGACAAAAACAGCCTGAAAGGAACCCTGCACTGCCCACAGAGGTCAGGTTCTTTCCTTGAAAAGTTCACGTAGAAGCCTTTACCAGCCACGAAATTACTTGCCTATGCACATACTTGGTCCTTGGTCCTCTGCAAATGTATACGATCATGAGAACATAAACCCATTGAACTTAAAAAATCCCAAACCAACCAAACAAAGGAAGGTCGAACCTGCGAAGTTCGAACCCCTGGCGTCCTGGAGACGAGGAGCTTCATAATATCCAGGCAGTGTGTAGGAAGTGCTTCATGCCGGCATTGGTGCAGAAGCCTGGCGGAGATGGAGCCGGGGGAAGTAGTGAATACCCAGTCGAGGACGAGGGATGGCATGAGGTGGGCCACAGCATTCGAAGGATTCTGAGCTGCGCAGCGGCGATGTGAGCCCTTGCCCAGTCATTGTGAGCGTTTGTTGTGAGATGTCTTCAAGTTCTGTGGCGTTTTTGAATTCACGGTTTAAATTCACCGGGGCGCACGTGATGGGAAACCAACGCTCAGATCACGCCGTGGGAGTGTTACGTGTTTCACCCGCGGGGCGCCATGGCCCAGGCTCTCCCACGCCTACCCTCTCCTCTTTTTTTTTCCTTCCTATCGATCAACGACCCGACCCGTTCGCTGGCTGGCGGTTTCTGTTCTGAGCTAACGACTGAAGAAGAAGAAGAAGAATGAGCACACGCGCGAGGACAAGATCTGCTGCAGGTAACTCCACGTCGGCGGTGGCGGCGGTTGCGAGCATGAAGAGCCGGGCTCGCCCACTGGGAAACACGAGGGTGCAGCAGGGTGGGGATGCGATGGACATAGACTCCTCGGTGGACGGTAAGGAGAACGCTCACGCCCGCACAAACACAAATGCAAACGCGAGAGGCAAGAACGCAAACACAAGCAAGAAGGGCCAGCAAGGAAAGGCGCGCAAGACTAAAGAGAGCTTGAAGTCGATTAACTGTACATGCACCAAGGGCGATGACGGCTCGCCGATGATTTACTGTGGCGAGTGTAGGATATGGTGCGTTTCTCGTCGTTTCAGCCCGGTTTGTGTGTTAATGGTGGTGTGGGCAGGTATCATTTCACGTGTGTGGATATGAGCGAGCCGGAGGCGGAGGAGATTAGTGAGTCATTCTCTTTCAGTTTGCATGGATGGTTTCTGATGACTTCTTTCCCTGCGTCTAGATGTGTATATATGTCCTACTTGTACAGAGGCAACAGGCCGTCGTTCAGCTAGTGAGTCGATTGAATCTCATTTTATTTCTCTTTACGTACAGCCCTGCCTTGTGCCCCTTTTTCCGCCCCGCCCATCTGTAGTTTGTGGTCTGTGGTCTGTGTTGGGAGAAGATAACATGCTCTGTAACATTCTCGCCGCCTGATGACACCTGGTGTATATGCTCGTCATTCGTCATCACACATGCAACCTTGAGGCGGGAAGGTACAGTTACACTTGCGGTGTGATGTCATTGGCCTTAAGCGCTATACGAGATGCAAGCGCTTGCTCGTCACACCAGTAACAAGAGCTTTATGTTGCTGTTGCGTGCTTGACTGACTTCATGAGTTTGGCGGACTTGTATGTGGCCAGCGACCGCCCAAGGCTACATGTCACACAGAGCATAAAGCACAGAGCACCTTTCTACACTTTCTCAAAGTTGATGCCACCGTTCTTTCGTCCTTTTTGTTAGCTATATATCATCTAAAGCAAGGTACTAACCAGGTTCCTTTTTTTTCGTGACAGTGTATTGGGAAGGCGAACAGGCAGTGGAAGAGTGCACAGATGACGAAAGTACCGTTATCGAACGCAGAAAGAAGGCCTTGAAAAGCCGAACACGAACCCCAGCCGCAACACAAGAAACCAAATATGTGGACTTGGACGAATCGGAAGGCGAACCAAGCAGCGAGGATGAATACGTTGACGATAAGGAAGTGCAGGAGGAGAAAACTAGGCCCTCTGAGAAGGTACGTTCCGATCCATTGTTTGCACCCCTCTTTCCGTTATCCCGTTATCGCTTGTGCTCATTCGTTGCTCATTCCGTTTTGCTTTCCTCAGCAGCGAGCGTCTCGCCTGCGCCGCCTGTCATCGGGATCGGAGTCTGCTGACGCTTCCGAAGACACCGGAACACACCACCGAAGGAGACGCCTGAGCCGCGTTAAAGCCTCGCAGACCCCACCACCCCCGGCTCCCCAGCATGGCCACCATCTGAAGCGGAAGGCGACACTCACGAACGTGGCTCACGGATCGACGACGCCTCCGCCCCCGAAGAGGAAGAAGTCAGGCGACGCGGCTGCCGAGGACCCGGCGAGGAAGTACTGCCTAGGCAAGTTCGAGGAGATGTTCCGGGAGGTCTACCTCCGCTACCCTCACGTCCGTGTCAGTGGTGGAGGTGGAGGTGGCACTGGCGCGGATGAGGGCGATGGAAATGGGATGAAGCCAGAAGACGGACATGAAGAGGTGGGAGAAGGTGGAGCTGGATTGAAGGGGAAGGGAAGGATCGTGAAGAAGAAACTGGAAGAACTGAGTGAAGAGGAACGGGAAGCGCTGATCGAGGAGTCGCGCCAGTTCGCGCGCGAGTTGGAGAAGTGCGTCTTCGAGATATATGCGGAGCCGGATAAGAGTGGCCAGCCCCATGCTGGAGCGAAGTACAAGTGCGTTCCAGATCGATTTTTTCACGATAGTATTTATGGAACTAACCAACACTCATTGATCGCTCTTTCGTTTTGATCTAGGGACCGCTTCCGGATGGTGCAGTTTAACCTTAGCAAAGTTGACCGTGTCGTAATTCACCAGCGCATTACGAGTGGAAATATTTCAGCTAAGGAGATATCGCTCATGTCGTCGACTGACCTAGCGAACGAGGAGACGCAGCAGTCAATCAAGGAGGCTGAGAAAGAGGCCCTGCGGCACTCGATCCTGGAGAAACCGATGGTCCCGCGTGCGAAGATCACGCATAAGGGATTGCAGGATATCGAGGAGGTGAACGGGGATGTCGTGAGTGCGCAGGAGCTTGAACGCCAGAAGGAGCGCGAGCTGGAGGAGGAGGAGCGCCGCGAAAGAGAGCGCCTCCAGCGCGTGCGGACGACGGCGACGCAGCATCAGAGGCAGCGCACTGCGTCGATGTCTGTCCCGCCAGAGTCGCCCACAGTCCCGCAGCACAGTCCCACAGAGCAGATACACCACCACCAAGCGTGGGGCGCGCCACCCGCCGTGCCGTTGCACACCATGGGCGCCCCTGACGATGCAAATGCCTCGCTGCGACCGCCGTTGTTTTTGCATTCGTCTTCTGATACGATGAACGTGACGGAGCCCGAGCTGAACCTCGCCGACTTGATCAACATCGATGACGAGCAGGACACGCCTGCAAGCGCGACCGGGGTATCTGCGAATGAGGACCAGCAGCAGGGCGTCTTCTCTCCGACGAGCGCGTCACTCGCGTCGCCTGTTGCCGCTACTCCTACTGGCATATCGCCGTTCGCCCAGCGACAAGAGAGGCCGCGGGCGCCTTCGTTCGACTTGAATGCGCTCTGGAACGCACCGAAGGAAGTGCCTCCGCCGACAAATGAAGAGTCAAACCCCGAGACTGCCTCCGACGCAACTGACACCGCTGTATTTACTGCCACCCCTCTGGACCAACCGCGCTCAGAGGACGGCGACGACAAGGATGATGCGATGGAATTGGAGTCCGTTGAGGCAAACGATCAAGATTTTGACATGTTCCTGGATGAGAAACCGCATGAGCCGACTCTCATCGTTTCAAATATCCAAAGGCCCGTTGAGAGTTTGCCTCAAGTTTGGAGTGGAAAGGTATAGTATTTGTTTACTCACGGATTGCTGAGCGTGAACTGACGTGTTTCGAACCAGATAACCATGCCACTTGATTCGAGCGTTCCTCAAGAAACGACTCTCATAGCCCGTCAAGTAGGAGGGAAACCGCTGGCGCCTGATTCGGTCCTCTGGAGTACACTGTTCCCTTCGGATGTTTTGAGGATTGAAGGACGCGTTCCTGTGGAGAACTCCGTCAAATACCTTTTACAAATGCGCATGAATCCCACGAAGGAGCTGTATGCTGCTGCCTTCGTTCCAGCTTCTTTCGAGGGCGAAGCGGATTTCAAGGTGTTTTGCAATTTCTTGATTTCGAAGAGGTACGTATTCGCCCACAATCCAAAATGTATGCGTCGCTAATTCTGCTCTACTTCTTTTAGTCGACATGGCTTGGTATTCCCGTGGGGTAGCAGGCCTAAGGAATACCACCCTGGACGTGAATTGTACATGATACCACTACTTCAGACAGAAGCACTGCCTGAGTTCGTTGAACTTCTTGATGACCTCAAGCTACCGAAAGCTCGCTCCAGAGACTTCCTCGTTGGTATCTGGATTCTGAACAAAGGCAAATTGGCCCCTCTCCCTGGAAATGTGCAGACTACGCCGCCGGTACAGACACCTACCCCAACTCAGTCAACTCCTTCGCAGCCTCCCGCTTCTGCCCTGAATATTCCCATCTTTAGTCCACCGCCGGTCCCGGTACCCCCACTTAGCGCTACCCCGAATGTGCCACCTCCGATTCCAAACTTGCCCATTGCACCCTCAACGCTTGCTGCTGAGGTCGCGTCTCTGACACCGGAACAAATTCAGAGTGTACTTCGTACTCTCGCTGCAACAAATCTTCCAGGCTTGGCACCGCCAGCTCCAGCTCCAGCGCCACCACCTCAATCGTTCCCACCTATTCCGCCACCTCTCAATCGACCGCCTTTCCCACCACACATGCCCCCACAGACAACGGCACCACCCCCGCCTAACTCCCAACCTTGGATGCCTCCTCCTGGGCCGTATCCCATAAGCTTCCCTCCACCCAACGTTCCTTTCCAACAACCATCCATGCCCCCTCAGACAACACACCATTCATCCGTGCCTCCCTCAAATGGAGCCTATGACCGGAAGGACTTTGATATGCGAGACTACGACAGGCAAGACTATAGTAGGCAAGATTATGACCGCGATTATCGACCTGGCCCACCGTACCAGCAAGGGCGGGACGACCATTACGGTGGTCAGCGAAATAACCGAGGGCGTGGGCAGAATAGTAACAGAGGAAATAAGAACAGGAATAGAGGTGGTCGTAACGATCAAGGTCATGACCGAGACTTCCATCCCCGTAGGTCAGCTGATTCTGGATGGCCGCGTCGTCCTAGGAATGACCAAGGAGGTCCTGGTTGGTGAACTGGATTTGCGTCCAAAATTGCCACCACAAAGAGGAATAATTTATCCATAGTTCGTATGATTCTTCCATGTCAGGCACCATTACTAGACTTTTCGTCTTTAGTACTGTAAAATTACATTCCATACTGTACTTCTAGGAAATCGTAGTCTACTGCGCGATATTGACGCCCAGAATAGTCGGTATTTGAACAGCATTGGTCGGGGATTCCTCTCCGCCGCGCCAATCGATGACAGGACGCTGCGGAATTAGATGTCCAAGTATGCAATGTAACCACAATACATTTCTCATTGTAATTACTTGTAATGTCGCGAATTGAGAGGTGAGAAGTGTTGGGAACAAATAAGTACGGCATAAGTCCTGCTGTGAAAAGTGTGATAGGCGCCTGTCAGGGAAATCAGCCATCGAATGTGAAGTCAAACAGCACTCCCCAAAACACAGTGCCTATTCACGTCCTGAGGCATATTTTTGAAGAAGGATTCATACGCTACATGATTAATCTTTTAAGTCCACCTCTGTGTCCCTAAATCGAACCCCCATTACGATAGTACAGTATGTACACCACAAAACCATTAGTCTTGAATTTGAACTTTTATCGCGCCTTGTGCGGGGTCAGCAGCGACATGGAAAGCAGTAACTGCGTCTTCCAAAGGGAATCTATGGGTCACCAGAGGTTTCACGTTAATCAAGCCACCAGCGATAAGACGGATAGCCTTGGGATACTGAGCCGAGCGTGAGTTCGTCCGAGACAGAGTCATGGGTAGACACCGTACCTGGTTAGCGTATCGATATTGGAAGCTCACGTCAATCTCATTCGCACTGAGGTGCATGAAAGGAAACTAAGAAATAGTCACTTTCGTCAACGAAGAAAAGATAATGTGACTGACAAGGAACTTACGGCTTGCTCGTTCTTTCCAACACCGATGATGAACACTTTGCCGCCAAATCGCACCGACTATACGGCATACAGGCCCGATGAGACAGTAGCTTCAACGAACAGAGAAGTCCAGCGAACTCACGTAAACCGCAGTGTGGATGCTGCTTTCAACACCAGAGCACTCCAAAGCGACGGTCAAAGGACCTTCGGCTATTTCCTTGATTCTTGCAGCCTCTTCCTTGGGAGTGCTGTTACGAGAGATTAGAAGAGTGCGAACGCCGGGTACGAGTTGCTTCGCAAAATCAAGCCGGTTTTGGAAGAGGTCCGTAATGACAATGGGCTCTGCACCGGCGGCTCTTGCGGAGAGAAGAGTAACAAGGCCAATAGGGCCCGCGCCACTAGGAGTGGATATCTAAGGTCAAAATTGGAAGTATCAGGAGGACGAGGAACCTACCAGATGAGGACAGGATCACCGAGCCGGAGACCAGATCGTTCAATACCAGCAAGAGCAACTGCAAGGGGTTCACAGAGGGAACCTTCTTCGAATGATACGGAGTCAGGAAGACGATGAAGCCACTGGGCAGGATGCAGGTGGAATCGTGTGAGAGTACCTGGAAATAAAAAACGAGTTTGTTAGGTCTGAACCAAAAAGACAGAGTACGATTTACCGTGGAATGGTGGCGTAGAGAAGAAAACCACATCAGGACAGGCATTGTATCTTCCCGTTCGGCAGGCGTCGCAAGCAGGCTGAGAACACGGCACACCAGCCTCAATCGCAACGCGGTCACCTAATGCAACGCCGTTCGGTTGGTTGTCGTACATTCTTGTGAAAACGAAGGTACGAAACTTACCAATTTTCCATTGAGTTACACCCTCTCCTACTTCGATGACCTCTCCAGCGGATTCGTGACCCGAGCCGCACTGAGTAATACGTTGATCTGAGTATTAGACTGGCCTGCAAAGAACCCTCACCTCATCGGTTACTACCATCGAGTCTCCAATTCGGCCATGCTTCCAGAAATGTACGTCGCTCCTGAGAAGGGTGACGTTGAAAAAGATCAAATAACCACCGCCGTTATCACCGACGAAGAGAAACACACCCGCATATCCCTGTTGCACGGACGTGGAGAAGAACCTGACCAGGTCCTGGCTTCGGGCGGGGCTTTTGAACGAGGTGGATCTCATTGGCGGGATTGTAGAACGCTGCGATGTTAGCATCGGGGGCTGGCTTCTCATCGAGCTTGAGGACTCTGAACTCTGGGTGGCCAAGGACCTTGCGAGGGCTGTAGATTTCGGCATTTCCGACTAGCTCTGTGGTCGACATGGCTTGCTTGGGTAGTTTGTTGTGTTAAGCCCTCTTGTGATGGTGTGTGGTAAGCTGGGATGCAAAGATCTGTGAGGATAAGGGAGACAACAAGGAGACGCGACGACGAATTGGGCATTGTAGCGTTCTTTTCCCTACGCTGGTAGTCAGGAGGACAGCGAGAGTGTGAACGCCTTGAATTAATCCGGCATACCGGAGAGGCGGACCGGTATTGCGTGGGCCGCCAACTACAGACCCGCTTGGTGTCTCCCACGGCTGCGTTCAACTTGCCACCACCAATGGGTCCCACCGCTACAGCTAACGCCTATTCTGCGAACCCAGATCGGCCAAGATCGCCATCACCCCAACCTGATTCTTTGGTGGGTGTGGACAAGACCCTACGAGAGTCATCGATAGAAGAGGCCCCGCTTTCTGTTGATGACCCGTCTGCATCCAACACCCCGACACTAGACACGAGAACCGTGAACGAGTTCATGTACTATAAGTATGGCTGCACTTTCCACACGTCAGTCGCCTCTCTTCTTCCATCGCATCTCAAATAAAAGCTCCCACCTGTGGCAAAGCTTGACATTACTCTTCAAATGGTTGGCGCAAAAGGTCTTACCTTTCAACCTGGTGACGATGTCTCTCTGTTCGACTTCTTGACGGCCGTGCGCCACAGCAAAAGTCCTACCACGGAAATTCCACCAATACTCTGGGATTTGCTGCCTCAGAGCAGCTTAGCCTTCCATTTGATGCCGTCATTGTTTCGTATACAGCTATTCGAATCAGCGAATACAACGCTCTGCATCCTTTGACCCAATGGTCCTGAGAGCGAGGAAGAGAGGCCATGGCTGGTTGCAGTTTCTCCGCGGATAGCTCTGGAATGTATTCGTCGTCGTTTAGGCCCTACCAACATGGATGTTGCCACTTTTCTCCTTTCCAATGGCATCCCATTCAACACACTCCTCCCAGCTCCCTCTCTTAAACCATTAGAAGCTCGCTCAGTCACCCATTCCGAACCGAGCATCCTGAATGAAGGGCACGACTATGACGCATATATCAAGATTCGTGACTCACACTTACGATCCAACAGCAGGTGTCGTCGTGCTCTGTCTATGGGTGGAATTGTCCGGCGTATTGCCAGCGAATGTCTTGTCGACTCTGATGTACTCGCAATCCCATCTCAGGAAGCTCTAGAATGGAAGGGTGAGGTGTATGTCCTTGATGGAGATGTCATGGTCGACGATGCATTGTCTGCTCAGGAATTGGTCATTATCCGTGGAGTGTACACCTTCAAAGCATCAGACAGTAAGTTGTGCTTTGTGTTGCATCATCATTTGCTTTATATTTGCTCGTCTAGATCCCACTTCTCCATCTTGGTTTCCGAGGACCAGAGCTTGGGGTCTCTCTGGTTATAATAAGGGCTTTTGGGGTTCAGACGCCGAGGCCTGGTATAGTCGACGATGCAGTAACCTATTCTCGGGAAGCAAGGGGAAGATTATCACACGCAATTGGCGAAATTATATTCGATTCACTGAACATACACATACTTTCCTAAAGGATATGGATGCTCATGCCCTTGCATACTTAAAATCACCGGACGCTGCACCTCTCCTTTACACACCTTGAAGCATCTATGCTGTACCGTTTGCCTTGCCGTAGATCATATGGTTGTATTAATGTCACATTGTCAAATTGATTTGAGTTGGGTGCCAAATTTCCGAGCCACGTCCTCTCGCCTACACTATCATGCCGGTGCCGGCAAGGTGCAATGGACGCCACACTTCCATTTCTGGTAATAGTCAGGAGCCTTCACACGATGTCAGGTCCGATCTGGGGACGATCTGAGCAGGGTTTCTTCCTTTCCGAAAGGAAGGTCGCCAAATAAAAGGTATAATGAGGAATATATAATAAAGACGAAATGTAAATTTGCCTCAGCGAGTTCAATCCCTATATGTATCATAGGATTTAAGCAACATCTTGTAACAATACCACCGGCCAATGGCAGCAATGTACCGCAAGATATCCCTTGGCTCAAGCTTCTGCGCACCTGTGTACTGTCCTGGAGCCTCTACTCCCCAGTCCCAAGTCGGTCAAGGAGTTCCGTGAGCCTTTCAGGGGCCGGTTTCTTTCCCGAGTAGCACCACGAGGAAACCACACCCCCGTGGCAGTCCAAGCCACGTAGACACATTCTCCACAAAAGAATAATAGTCTTTGTCAAGTCAATGTCAAGTACTAGAAACGGGCGACCGTGTAAACAGCTCGAGAATCGATTATTTCGTCCCGCGGCAGGCCTAAGTGCGGGTTTAACTTCGTGGTGGTGGCAAAACGTTGGTTGGTTGACACTGGAGAGCTGCAGATGGCCTTGCTGGACGGTCCTGGTAGCCTTAGGTCAGATCTCAAATCTGTCTCCCTCAACCTCCGGCTCTACGGGCGCTCCTTGTTCTAAAAACACTTCGGACTTGGTTGAGTGATCGGGGAGCGAGTATTTAATATTTAGGGCCTACCTATCTACCATTGCCCATGATCAGACCTTGGATCCGTGTCTTCAATAATTGCGCCCTTCAGCCCCTGCACTCGCAGACCTAGTTTTACGCGAATGAATTAACCACGCATACATCTCCCTTTCTTCCCTCGAAGCAGCGGAGGATAAGCATTTACATTCATTACTAGAATATCTACCCAGATGGCTGTGTTCCACCAGTGAAGCGCTTGAACGTGAACCTGCAGGGAAAAGGTCAGCAGGAGGGAAGGAACAGGGGCGCAACAAATGTACCCTAAAAATGCTAGATCCTTCTCTGCGCCAACACCTTCCACCTTCTCCAGTTGGTCGGGCATATTGCCCAAGTCATCGGTGGGGAAGTACGACGTGTCTGTTATCGACTGCAGATGAGGAACGAAAGGAGGCTCGATGTGGCGCAATGAATTCCAGTCTGCGCCATAGAAGAAAGGATGAGACTTGATCTGGTTCACGTTCAGACGTCGCTCGGCCCATGACATCATGCTAGAACGCTAATTCAGCCACGACACCAAAAAAAAAAAAAGAAAAGGTGCGAACTTGCGAATTAGATCTTCTCCTTCTCGAGAAATGTACACTTCTTCGGGGAAGTAAAGGTAATTTGGCCAGTCGATGATCTTCTTATATGTTTCGGTGGGATTGTCCGAGCAGAATGGCGCATATCCAACCAAGCATTCAAAGAAGATGGCACCCAATGACCACCAGTCACATTCTTTACCATAACCCTTCATCAGGAAGACTTCTGGCGCAATCTGGAGGAGTAGACGTAAGTTGCGGTTGTACATGCGGGGATGAACTTCGGCGCACATAATCAGGAGTTCCGACGGTAGAGAAGGCCTGGATGGACTCTCAGCACCATGGGATAAAAAGTCTTGTTGGAGTGGAACTAACCAGCTTCCGACGATTGGCTTTCCATGTCGCAATTTGCTCTCGGCTCATGGTGAGGTTGATTGGGTTAACCTGTACGCTGTTGCGGGCGGAGTCTCTTGTCTTCTCTTGTTCAAGGTATCGTTTGTAAAACTCTGCATCAGAAGCTTTGTGTAGGCCCGTCGATAAACCGAAATCAGACAGCTTTAGGTGGCCGTTCTTGTCAATGAGTACGTTGTCGGGCTTAATATCACTAAATTGATCTCCTTAGACCCCTTGCTCACGTAGCAGGGAGAAATTACACACCGGTGAATATACCCCAGATTATGAACGGCCTCTATGGCGAGAATACATTCAGCCATGTAGAATCGCGTCACATCTTCCGAGAACACGTCGTATTTCATGAGCATGGTCATCAAGTCGCCACCTGGTAGGAACTCCATGATCAAGTAGAGGTAAAGGGGGTCTTGGAACGAATAGAATAATTGCACGACCCAAGGTGATGTCGACTCGGCCAAAACATCGCGTTCAGCGCGAACATGAGCCAACTGAAGATCCCGGGGCCGCAGTTAGAACGAAGTTGGAACGATCGGTTGGGACAAAGGGCATACCTGATCCCGCTTCAACATTTCAGCCTTCTGCAGGCTCTTCATCGCGTAGACCTTCCCTGTATCTACCTTTTGCACGAGACGAACCTGCATAGATGGAGGGTTGGTCGTTTCGAAGCGACGTGCCGAGAACGAGCACGAACCTCTCCAAATGCACCCTTCCCGATCACCTTCACCGTACGGAAATCTGAGAGCTTGATCTTCGTTCTTCTGAGCCGCAAGTGTTGGGATTCTAGCTTGCTGTACTTGCGAATTTCTCGCTCTTTGGCATCTGGTGTATGAAGTTGGGAGAGCCTCGTTTCCATCTCAATCCGCCTTCACCCCGACATGGTAACCAACGATTAGCTAGCCGATGGCTGGTCTGGGTCGAAGTACACCCACCGAGCGTTGCGTTCTATCGCAGAGTCGACGGCCATTTTGTAGTACGACTCGAGCTTCAGTTTAGCGGATGTCGACCGAGCGACGGCATCTGAACTGAAGTCTGCAGTAGATCGCTCGAAGTAGACATCTAAGGCGAGGGTCATCGAAACATAAGACTATCGCGGCTTTGAGTCGGGCTTACAGTCGTCTGGACGAGACTTGTTCGCGCCTTGATCTGCAGTGAGATGCTGCTGGTGATTGTGTTGGGCGTTAATCGGGCTTGACGGGCCAGGAGAGGGCGTATGCATCGTGATAGAGTCTTCAGGAGAAGTCTGGCCAAAAGGACGGTGCCCGCCAACTCAAGCGGGGACAAGAGGGGTCAGAGATGCGAATGGTTTATGGTCAAGCTGAAAACCCCTTCACCATGGTTGCCCAGGCCCCTCGGCGATCTCAAATTAAGCACCACATGATGTCCCACGAACTCCTACATCCCAAACACGCGTCTTAACCGACTCTTTTTCAGCAACGAGGCTTGCCAAGGCTTTACCGCTTGTTGTCTAAAATACCCCGCTTTCGGACAAAGTATCGATAACGAGCTTGAGGTTTAGCTGAAGCCAGGCTGAAGCGTTCAGACGGTTCAGGTGGACATGATCGAAGGAGATAGATAGAAGATTTCATTGTTCTTTTCCAAGTCTGCAATCACTTCCTGACCTTTTGACGAGGTTTCCTAAATTTCTCCTTATTTCAGTGCGAGTGAGGAGCAGAACTTCGGAAGCAAGCTGTGAACTTGGCATCTCCCCTGTTTGGAAACCGACCTCCAGCCAAATAGAGGTCCAATCTTGCTCTGAGCGTCGAAACGGACCAGGCTTGTCGCCTGACCACATCCACAACGCCATTCTCATCCTTACATACCTGTCATCATGACGGAGCTCACGCTCGATACGTTAATGGACGATGGAAGCTATCTGGGGTCAGAAAGAGCCCGGCTCGAAAACAAAGTCATCCTTGATGAACTGGAGCGAAAGAAGAAGGCTCGCGCTCTGGCAGTGCCAACGGATGACAATCGCGTCAAAGCGCGTCTAAGGGAGATAGGAGAGCCTATAACGTTGTTTGGAGAACGGGTACGTGCTATGGTGTCGCCATCTATCACTGTAACAAATAGCTCTTACAGGCTGCAGATCGACGGGACCGTTTAATTTATGTTCTTTCTCAAATCAATGCGGCCCGAGGAGATGATGCACAACCTCTACACAATGAATCGTCGTCTGAGAGTGAGGATGAAGTGAGTTCTCCGTATTATGAATCGGGGGTTGTAGGATGATTAACGGCCATATTTCACCAGGAGGAAGAATTCTACACTCCTGGAACACTAGAACTGCTGGAAGCAAGAAAACGGATAGCAGAATTCTCTCTTCCCAGGTTGGATTTATCCCTCCGCTAGGTGAAATACGACAAGGTGCTTACAATGTCATTTTGTTTTCTTTATCTTGACAGAGCTCAAAAAAGAGTCGCCCAACAGCGGATAGACAGCAAAATGGACCTCGGTCGAATCGTCGACATTCGCAAAAAGGTCTTTGCTGAAGTCAAGGTCAACTTCCCCCTTCGTCTATCAGTGGTCCTCCTAATTGCCCCGTTTATAGAAATTCTCGAACCTTGGGTCTCAAATCGGTGACGAACGACCCATATCACAAGTCCGCTTCGCGCCGAACAACCAAATACTTGCTACGGGTAGCTGGTCGGGGACAGTAAAATTATGGAACGTCCCAGCTTGTACCCCCATCCGTGCACTTCGCGGTCACTCGGATCGAATTGGGGGCGTCGCCTGGCATCCTCAAGCAACATTGTCGCAAAGTGAGGAGGCAGTAAACCTTGTTAGCGGTGGTGGAGAAGGGAGTGTGAACCTGTGGTCGATAAACGGGTGTGTCTTCGTGTTGTTACCGACCCTGTCTCGCCGTTTGAACTTGCACAATGTAGTGAACAACCTCTCACAGTCATGCAAGGCCATCAAGGCCGTGTATGTCGTGTCGCGTTCCATCCCTCTGGAGATTACGTGGCTAGTGCAAGTTTCGACACAACATGGCGATTATGGGACGTAAACTCAGCCAAGGAGCTTCAATTACAGGAAGGCCATTCGAAAGAAGTGTATTCGGTCGAATTTCAGAATGACGGCGCGTTGGTCGCATCAGGGTAAGATTTCGCCGTTCTCTCCTGATAAATTGTCCTGATCCCGACCGTGCCGCAGCGGTCTTGATGCTATTGGTCGAGTCTGGGATTTGCGCACAGGAAGAACCGCGATGGTTCTCGACGGACATGTCCAGGCCATCTTTGCCACGGCCTTCTCACCCACTGGGTTCGGATGTTTTTCTTCTGTTTCTCCGGGTTTAACGCTCATGCCCCATCCTGCAGATACCAAATTGCCACTGGTGCCGGTGATGATACCATCCGTATCTGGGACATGCGCTCTCTCAAATCTCTGTACACGATTCCGGCACACGTCTCGAATGTGTCTGATGTCCGCTTCTTCCATGCGAACGATTTGTATTTCAAGCATGCGCAGTCATCGTCTACACAGGATGTCGTTATGGATGGCACAGAGGAGGCCGAATCTAAACGTGATTCGCCTGAAAAAGAGTTTGCCGCGGCAGAGGAAGAGTGGCGCTATCGTTCAGGCCTGTTCTTCGCCAGTGCCGGGTACGATGGATTTGTCAAGCTGTGGAGCGCGGATGACTGGCAGCTCCTGAAAAGGCTGTCCACAGATGCGGGTAAGGTCATGTCCGTTGATTTATCTAGTGATGGAAATATGCTCGTCTCTGGAACATATAACCGTAATTTCCAGCTGTTTACTCCGGAAGATGTGTTGTAACCTATGCAATAAATAGACAAGATACAACGAGTCGATGAATATACGATAGCAAAATGCGACAGACAAACGAGGGGGGTTATATAATGCCGTCTCGAACCTGACGAAACGGTGTTAGGAACAGGATGCTCAACAACATGTTATGGAGGCTAACCTTTTGCATAAAGCCAGAGACGCGGCCCAAATCAACAATCTGTGCCTCACTCTCAACAGCTATAACAAGATTTTCCAGCATCTAATACAGAATTAGAATCAGGCATAAGATGAAAAGCCGAAAGCCAACTTACATCTTCGACCCTGTCAATTGGAAGTCCAGTGCATAGAGCCACAATCTTTTTGCATTGATATTCCTTCTCCGCACTTGCACCCTGGAGCCCCTTCAACCTCGCATTCACCAGCTCCTCCATCCGCACATGCCACATCTTGAGCCTCCTCAGCTTAATCAGTGTTACCACAGAGTCACCAGAAGGCAGAGGCGGCTCCGAATCCACATTGAACGAAATATCCACTGAACCTCCAACACCAATCATCGTCGAGCTGGCACCTCTATAAGCAAAGCTTGGACCAGCCGTGTCGCGGGCGTCGGTGCCGTCGAGATTTGTTCGCCCTGTCCAATCTAACTGGTCCTCGTCCTTGATGGCCTTCTGCACATTCCGGATGCGCTGATTGATCTGATCAAGCTCGCCGCATCGTGTTTGCCAGGCTTGGATTTGTTTCCGTTGTTCGGAGAGCTCGCGGGTAGCTGCACGTAGATGGGCTTGGGTCACGTCGAGGGCGTCTTGTTTTGTCTTTATTTCTGTCTGGAACTCGGAGCTTAGATTTTGGATCATTGAGGTCATGTCTGCGAAATGGTCGTCAGGGCATAGAATAGCAGGAAATGAGTGCAACAGACCAGCAATGACATCTTGGCTCTTTTGAACGGGTACAGGAGGACCAGAACGCAGTGACGATAGAATATCCTCTGCTCTTGGACCGCCACTCAGCTCCTAATAGCCGGTTCAGCAACGGACTACGTCAGGAAAGTCTGCCCTCTTACCTCTGTCTCGACACCGAAATCACCAGGGCGGAGACCCAATTTATTTGGCAATATTCGATTTGCACCGACATCCAACAAGGTCCTGACAAGACTCCGATTCCCAACCCTTGCAGCAATGTTTAATGCAGTGTCGCCATGCTCGTCCTGCAGGTCAACTATCGAACGGAAGTCGCCTCCTTGCTGCTGTGCAACCCACATGAAAATTTGATCCATGTAATATCGTGCGGCGACAGCACGTCCCTTGACGCCCGCGAGTGCAACAATATGATGAATGACTGACTTCCGTGATGTGTCCAGAGTCCGAATGGAGGGATGTAGGGCAACCACTAGGTCGCCGAATGTTTGGAGGTCGGCATTGTGTGTCGCAATGCAAGCACGGATAAGAGGTGTCTCGCCGAGGAAGTTTCCACGGTGCATGTCCGCCCCGTTCGTTATGAGCAAGGCGACGGTTTGTTGCCGGCCCATGCTTGCCGCTAGGTGGAGGGCTGTGTGCCCTTGATCATCCAGGATCGTGTCGACTTCCAGTGTGCCGACAGAAGCATCGGAATGCCCTGGGTCCGAGCATATTTCGCGCAGAAGGTCCAGGACGACGATAGGGTCGTCTCGTTGGCATATTGCTGCCACAACGGCGGCCCTTCTGCCGTCCTTGTAGTGAGAAGATGCCTGGCCTGGGCGAGGCAGCAGTGGCTTTGAAGCGAAGCGTGTTTTGTGGACGTCGAGTTCGGGGGATCGACTCATTGGGGCGCCAGAAGCGCCGTTTGTTAAGGAGAGCGAGCTGGAGGGACGTGGGGTTCCGTTGAAACCAGGCTGGTGTGTTCTCGAGGATGATGGCCATGTCGTGGGTTGTGAAAGGGAATGAGGTTCTTGAGTTACAGAGTCGGTCCGAGGACGTTTGGCGGGCGAAGGGTTGTCTTCGCCGTTGGCCTGCGAATTGGCGGAAGCTGGTCTTGAGCGATCTGCTTGCAGAAAATCTATTGAGTTGTTAGCGTCGAGGAGCACCATAACGGATGAAGAGAAACACCTGGATGCGTCCCGCCTATTGTATCGACGTCGGCTTCTGACCTGTTTCGTTTTAGAGTGGCAGTACTGGGTGGAGGAGTTTCGGATGTTTGGGGATGAGGAGATTGGCTAAATGACCCTCCTGGATAAGGACCAGGGGAGGCAAACCCAGAAGGACGGGTTTGGTTCAACGCTGAGATACCAGAGGTCGTAGGGGTGAAGAGGCCTTGAGCCCTTCCTTGGTTAAGAAGGCGAAGTGCCGAGCCAGGCATGATGGGAGGTGGGGCCAGAGAGGACGGTAGCGCTCCCATATAGTTCCCTGGTGCACCAATGCTGGAATAGGAGGAGGAAGCAGAGAGTGGGCGAGGAGAAGCTGTACCGACTGGCGTGCTAACTGGCAATGCTCCAAGCGCGTTTGTACTCGGGGTAAAATCAAACAGAGGAGCGAGTAAGGGCGCCACTCCATATTGTAGCGCGATGTCGCGTCCGCGTTCCAGAGGAATCCTGAAGAACGATAGGGCTGGTATTAGGGATTTACGCGTCTAGTGCACCAAGAAACATGATAATTCACCATGTTCCTTGATACTTGCCGTATCCTCCCTGAACAATCTCGTGTTTCCCAGGCAGGATTTCTTTCTCAAGAATCTTGGTTCGACGACCTTTGTCCACCCCGGCGACCTTGAGGATCTGTGTCGCGTTCACATAGGAATCATTCCTCCTGCGCATGACGGCTATGCCACGAATCATGCACTCATAGACCTGGCGCGACGCGCCCGTGTCAGGATAGAAAGGGGGTTGAAAGGAAGGAGAATTACCTGAACAGAAGAGTAGACTGCATTGTAAATTTTTACGGGGGGCTGTGTGCTCCCTGGCGCTCGTGGACCGGCCTGCATTGTGAGTGGGAGGAGAAGGAGAACTGTCGCCCGACGGAGCTGATGGCGGCTGGGCAAGTCAGGTGTCAGTCAGGTGTTTCGTGCCACAACGCGACACGCGTGTCGGAGCTGAAATTCTCTCCAATTGCACCCACCGCAGCTGGGCCTCTGAGATATCAGTAATGGTCAGATACTCTAAGTACTTATCTCTAAAAAAATCTACAGTACACGCTGTGAGGCTGTTACCTCAGAACCAAGAACCTCACTCGAGTACTTCGAGACGCGAGGATGAACGGGCGGCGGCACGGAAAGCCGGGGTCACGGAAGATACCGAGAATTCTCACTCCCTTGTCTTCTGAAGGTTTCGTCATTCCCGCTATCGTAGTCCCTCTACACTGGCTTTTCCACACAGATAACGCGTCAAATAGCACACCCTATCTGGCACCTTCTTGTTTGTGAAACATTCAAATTCACTGTGCGCGTTTTTCGCCTGATAAATGCCATTCGTCGATGAACACTAACTCCGCCATCTTTCCTCACTCATTTAATTGACCAGGCGGCCGTGAAAGCGCCTTCAAATTATTGAATATCTTCCTCATCTTAATGACCCCTTCCCAAACTGTCGAATATCATCATGTCAGAATCCCAGCAGCCTGAACTTCAACCCCTTCTACGACCGTTAGTCTCTAAACTTTCATGAGAAGTGTAGCTCACCTTTTGAACAGTGAAACAGTCGAAAATACACCTGTGTATCCCTTAATCCATATGATCAGAGCGGTATGTGTTCTTGAAGTACGCTTGACCGGTAGCTAACTCCTCCCAGGATGTCATAGTGAGTTCAAAACTCTACTCTCATCCAGCCGCTTCGCCGACTCTACTTGTAATGGTGCTCGCATAGCATTACATAGGTATTCAACAGGAATATGTCATTTATGGGTCCGATCGCTGAACCTTGAGCCCAGATACACCTTTAACATATGAAGCAGTGAGTGGCCTTCATGCTCTTTTACCACTTATTGTATCTACAAACCCTTTAGTTAACGTCGCCGGACCTTACATACACCCTCGTCCGTCCTCTCGTCGAAAAATACGTCGCAATCCAACAAGAAGGCAATCTCTCTGTGGTATTCTGCTGCCTCATCAATCGCGTCCACTTCCTCCGAGATGAAGACCTAATTACCCAAACAATCTCCCGTTCAAGAGCCAACCTGTGCGACATCCTAGCTACACGTGTTTTCAGGGACAACGCCAATGACGACCTCAAGCTCGCCATTGCACTCACGACAAGCTGGCCCGTGTACTCCGGAGCGGATCCGCTTGTGGTATCGCAAGCTAGAGAGGAGAGGGACGACGATCTAGAAGATCATGTCGGGAATGCGATAGAGATGGCTATTCTTGGGAAGGCGAAGCGCTTCATCAAGAGCTCGGCTTGCCAGAAGGTGATTGATGGCATATGGACGTATGTATTGGGCATCTTGCAAAGTACCCTGTGGGTCTAACGCTGTCATCCAGTGGAAAATGCGTTTACCAGGCGCAAAGCAGTCATTCGATCTTGTCAGACGTATGTGTCCCTCTTACTGTTAGATGTACGGCATTTGACGCTTTTCTAGACCTATAAACGTACACCTATACATTTCTACGATCCGCACAAAGCACCGCTTTTGGATCATTACCGGTTAGCATTATTCATACATGCGCTGACCTCGGCTAACTCCCCTTCATAGCCTCAAAGTGCCCTCATATCGGGCAGTACTCGAATACGTCAAGTGCGTTTTCTAGCCTCGAAACATAATCCATTCACGGCAATTGAAGAGGTTTTTGCTGCTTAGCTTCATCATCTTATTCGTTCTTTTCATCATCGCCCTCGAATTGAATCAAAAGGATAAAATCAACGTGGCTGAGATCTTTTTCATGGTTTTTGCATTGGGGTTCACATTGGAGAAGGTGGCGGCTATGCAGGAGCACGGTATTCATCGTAGGTGCTCTCCACTCGTCGAAGTATGACCTCGAGTTCAAAACACCCGCCGCCAGTTTTCTTCAAGGGCACCTGGGTATGGTTTCCATGGTCTTTTATCCTCTCCCGACCATTGATTCCATCTGCCCTATCAGAATGGTTTCGATCTGGCCTTTAGTTCGTTGATTGCCCCTACTCACTCCATGCTCGAAGTATTAACGCTCCATTAGTGACAACGTTTTGTCTTTACGCGTTTCTGCGCATATATGGGGTCTACTATGATCGTATGTATATTTTGAGGCGTTACTCTCCTCCTCTGACATCGCAATACTTTGCAGGACAATGGGCTCGTAGTTTCGGGGTTGATGTCCTTGCCATCATCGCTTGTTTGATGTTTCCTCGGTCAGTATCCGTCTCCTCCCTTTGTGTGCATATTATTCTGATGCATCTTGTAGTCTCGCCTTCGTAACATTTAAAGACAGTCTCCTGGTCCTCTCGCTACGAGCGATGATCGTGCAGTTCGCGCTTCTAATGCTCATTGCTGCCTTTTGTTTCTGTGGGTTCTTGTATGCGCTTTGGACGTGAGTTTCAACTCTATTACGTGCTTTTTGATGACAAAAAAGGTTTTGTGAATTTCTAGGCTCAGTCGCGATGATGCAAGGTAAGCAATCACACTGGAAATATGCAGTCAATTTTTTTTTGTTGACGACCTTTGGGTAGTTACGGGCCTGGGTCAGTTTTGTGTTTGGAGAGCTTGTAATAGACCAGGCTCATTTCTCTCAGGTTAATCGCTTGGTGGATGTTAGATCTATGGTTTGGGCTGGATGCCAGTGGCTTCGACAACGCGAGTACGAAGCTTTCCCCCCAGTGATTCTGGACACTTGCCTTACTCTGCGCTCTCCAGCCAGGTTCCATCCTGTTTTTGGGCCTATTCTCATGGTCACATATGCGTGCCTCAGCAATACACTCTTGCTGACAGGCGAGTCTCGTAACCTGTGCCTTCTTTACCCCGTTCTAAAAGTATATCTCTACAGTCCTCGTCTCTGTGCGTTCAACATCCACGCCCCATGATCTCTGGGTTGATTCTCTTCCATAGATCCTGTCTAACACTTTTGCATCTGTCAACGAAGATGCTGCCGCAGAGGTATCCCGTGACTCTGCTGCGCACCGGAGCACTATCTCACAATTCATAGGTCATGTTTCGCAAGGCCGTTTCAACGATCGAAGGGTAATGTTCTCCTCCATTCTACCTTCATCAGCGCTGATCAGCACTTCAGGGTTAAGGCAGACTTCCTATTTTCCTATCAACCTCCGATCAATTTGGTAGCACTGTGTATCTTGTTGCCCGCGAGTTACATCTTATCTCCTCGTTGGTTCCATAAGGTACGTGATTTCCTTCCTTGCCACAGTTCTACGGCTAATTGACCATTTAGTTGAACGTTTTTATGATTCGGCACGTACCATCATTGTATCTATAACTCGCAGCGTATGCTCAAAGAAGCGTTCTAGATTGACGAGCTTTCCGATCCTGCTCTCTATATCATTTTATGAACGACAGTCTAAAATCGCGGGTACAACTTCTTTTGCTGAAACAATGGCGCATGTAGCGGAAAGGGTATTTGATTCCCTGCCACGGTCCTTGAAGCGGATGAGTGAGTCAACTCCATGCAAAGCTATTGTAAGAAGCTGATCGGATTGATTTTGCATGCTGTAGCCTTCTTCGAGGGCCTAGCGGGAGCAAATGCTGATATCGATGCCGTCAGTTTCTATAAACTGTTCAGCCCACCCTAAACTTCAATGAGAATGAATACAGGTCTTCGAAATAGAAGGAGAATTCGACAGCGCGTTGGACGTGGCTGATAATGACACCTTGATTCAGCACCAACAACACCGCCGACTGTCAGGGGCGTCATCGCGAAGAGGGCGACTATATCCCCCCGCATCACCACCCAAGGCACAAAGGAACAGACTTTACTCAATACTACCTCAAGGCCAAACTGCCAGCCCTCTCGCCCAGGTCTTCAACCCGTTTCTCGTCGAGGACGATAACATGCCAGAGCACATGTCCGGACATTCCATACCGCCGGGGGTTAGCTTCGGGCCTGCCACGCGACGCCGGTTGACCTCCATGGCACAACCTTCACAGCAACGTGTTACTGAGCCTCCTGCTGGCAATGCTGGTGGTGTCATTTCTCATGCAACCAGAAGGTTCCCAGTTATGAGTGATAAGGACAGTCCTTCAGGCAATAGCGTACAACGATCACGAAGCCACGATCATTACCTGAGGAGACAGCCAATACCAGCAGGAGAGATCGAGGACGGCGAAGATAGCCAAGGCGAGACTGCTGAGCAGGCCAACGTGTTGAGACGGCTGGATGCAATGGACAAGCGGCAAAAGAACATCGAATCTCTGTTGATGGGAATATCGCAAAGTATTAGTAGCTCGAAGACATGACCATTACGGTGATGGATTGAACTCTTCGCTGCGTGGTACCCTGGTTTATCTGTATTATTACAAGAAAGATTTTCCATAGTAATTCATAAGGACATGATACTTGCAGTATGAACAACAATTTGATTCGACGATACAACGCTGAACGGCCTATGATCCTCGAGAGCGCGGTGGTGCGGAAAATTATTTGCGGGAAGTGTCGTACTGCCAGCAATAGTTAGCGGACGAGACAATGTCTGAACAGTATTCTCCATACTAGGATAGACATAGAAGTAGGCCACTCGGAGGGCAACTGCGCGGTGTTCAGATACGAATAGCAAAGTTCTGGGCGGGAGTGGTTCTTGAATCTGCCATTTGGAAAAATTCTGAGAAACTGAAAAAAAGCATCGAGGTCGTATAGACATACCGTTTCAAATTCCCGGACTGTCCTGGTGCGCGACGCACGTTGGTGTATTCGAAGACAGCTCTCAAAACCTCAGAGACTATCTGTTGAGTGGTGCATTGTCAGTCACAGCTGGTAGCATGTCAAAAGACAGCTTTACTTTGACTGTCAGCCCTTCACCCAGGTAGCTAGAGATGACCGAGTTAGATGATGCCCACGGAGTGATGCTATTGACTGACTTGAAGGCACCATCAGCGGAGAGCCTGTCCTTGGCCGGTCTCGTTAAACTAATGCTAAAAGGATCAGGGAAGACCTTTTCCTAAAGAATGTCTAGTAAGCCTCGGGCACGTATTGTGCGACGCGATAGATGACATACATCGAGGTTTGCAGATGCAATGTTTAGGAAGACGCGGTCATTCTTCTTGAAGCTTTGTCCGTCGATGACCTGATCTTTTGTCAAAACGCCTGCATATACGTCAACATCATTCAGAATTTCTCAGAAGTGAAGAAGTTCAGTGCTTACGGAAAACGCCTCGGAAAGTCGGTTCGATGCCTTCGCTCAGTTTAATAGACGGAAAGTATAGAACAAGACGGACCACCCACGAAGAACTTCATACACATAGGCATCAAATTGGCCTCTTTTATTGGCAAGGGCAGTGAGGGTGGGTGCGTGGTCGCTTCCGAGATAGACATTGAGTGCATTGGTGATAGCTGTCAATGTTGTCCAAGTTTAGGAAATCAAAGCGAGACAGACAAGAGCTGAAACTAACTGATCACAAGCTCTGTGCCAGCCGTGACCATCAACGCAAGAATAGTGTTTGCCAATTGATCAGTAGACTCCCCAAGTTCGTAGAGGCGCTTCACGATGTCATGGTATTCTGTGCTCTTGTGTTTCGAGAACATAGAAGACACCGTCCCTATGATGCCGGCGATGGAGAGCTAATTGAGCGAGTTAGTGTTGATACCAAGCGCGCAACTAGCTGCCTTACCTTCGAGCCTACAGCTCCATCCAGGCGTCCGTTGATCAACCGCAGCAAAGTCTTGATATGTTCCTTGACTTTGCCTTCTAGCACCATGAGTCTTGACGCCTCGACATCGAGGAAGATAAACCTAGTGGTAAATGAACCATGAGAGATATTCTGATCAGATGCCGAGTCGACACGAACTCGTAGATTTCACCGAGGGCTTCGTAAAGCTCTTGCGGCGTGTAAGCACCACCAGAATACTCCTTTGTTTTCAGTTCGATTCCAGCCTGAATAAATCATCGCCATTAGTAAAATGAACCAGTCACCCTCGAAAGTCGCAGAACTCACAAGATCTGTAGCGACCCAGTAGGCGGGCAAAACGCTGACAACCTGGCGGACAAGGTCGACGCCCAATGTCTTGCCACCCACAAGAGCATATGATTTCTCGTCAATGAGTTTCTTTGTCATCGTGTAGAAATATTGGCCAATGTCGTTGAAATGTTCAGGAGATGTGAGGATTTTGACGATCGCTTGTTGATTCCGCTGATCTTCCGCAGGGAAAAATCTATTGACCCATCAGCAATGAGTATGAGATCGATTATGTCTGAAATTTACCCAGGGCCCTTGATGACTCTGTCCACCCTTGCCTTGTAAGGCGTTGTAAAACCTTCCTTGTTCTTCAGAATAGCTGAAACTCGGGAGTAATCCTCGACGAAGACCGGGACGGACTTAAACTTCGGCCTCGACAGATCATACTGATCAGCAACCTCTAAATTCTTCAGAATAACCTCCATGGATTCCGGAGTCATGAGAGGGAAGAACGTGTAGGTACTGTTCTCAGTGAAATGGTCGGGAAGAGTACGAAGGAACAGACGCCCTAGCATACTTCCGAAACCAAATGCGTTGGGATCTCTTTGACAATCGGCGAAGCCCCAGGAAGTGAGGTTGAAGGGGGTGAAATCGTGCGTGAAGAATCGATCGCCACGAGTAAGGGCGATAGCGTCGCTGAGAATAGCCCGGCTGACAGTGTAGCCTATAGACTGCGTGAGATTCTTGGGTTCGTAAATTGAACGCCAACGGCCGCATACCAGGACAGAGACCTGCGCCATCTACTAGAGGCTTGGCTTCTTCTGCTTGCAAGCCAACATAGAGCTCGAGTAAGTCGATGCTTCCGTACAACTTTTCAGCCGCATCTGCGATTTCGGGGTCGGAGTTCCATTCCAAGAAAGTCTTGAATGCTACAGTCATTGGTCAGTGAATATAGGCAGAGAAAGGGTTGATATATGCGTTACGTTTTAGTCCCAAGTACTGGAAGACACCGTTAGTTTCCGTTTCGTGAATATGCCAGAGAGAGAGAAAGGCCCACCTTTCTGAAATCGTTCAAAGAGCAAACACCCCATTTCCGACTCTGCTCAATTCCCATAACTTCATTCAAGCGCATGGCGCCTGTAAGTTGGCTAAGTCGATATCCTTGATCATTAGAGGGCGGAAGTTTTACCTGGCGTGCCTCGTGCCCCAAACGCTGCAGCGGAGTGCTCGGTGCTACCGCAGGAATCAGTCAGACTGCTGGCGGGAATGAACGGAGACATACGCATCATGCAGAATCCTCGCAAGATCTTCATCTCTGAAGTTTCCGTCCGCCTGTCGATGGAGACTAAAGAGGCAAAGTTAGAGAACCAAAATGATGACAGAGCCCATCCATACCCCCCGAAATGCCACTCGGTGACTGGTGGCTGAGTTTTCTGTAGTTGATACGACACCCTTTTGAAATCATCGACGGTGACTTCTTCCGGTGATTTATCACCGAAAAGCTTTCGGAACACTTCATGTGTCCACTGCTCGTCCTCTCGACTTGTCGTCGCGTGCCACCGATAGAGGCAATTGAACTGAAGCAATATAGATGAGCTATGAACGCTCATAAGGTGGGAGACATACCTCAACACTGCAGACATTGCCTTTGCCCCTTTCAAATAAGGAGTGGTCCTCCTTCCGCATTTCCTGCTCAAAGGTCAGAATACTTCTCTTTGGGAAGAGTGCCAGCAACACACATCAAAGGGAGTTAAACTCCAGCTACTGCCATCCCTGACAAGACCGAGGATGGACGAGAAGTAATCAGAGAAAACGACTGAATGGAAAGCGTTCAAGTTGAGTGTTCATCAAACGATAGACAATAAGGAAATTAACGAACCCATCCCAAACCAGCCACAGTTAATGAGACGAGCGGTCTGGAATATGTCCTCTTCTTGCTCCACTAGCTTTGCCTTGCTGATAGGATCGTCCGTGGAAACCGTGGCAGGGTCGATATACGTTCCTCGCTCGTTAATCTCGAGCAGCTTCTTTGCAATATACTAAAACTAGAGTTGAGCCATGAAAGACCAAAATAGCATGGAATGTTCCTCACATTGTGATTACGGCTGAACAGCACAAGTAGTGTGCAGACGGCAGGTGGCAGCAGCAACAAGCGATCCTCGGAGAAGACGTCTGGATAGAGGAGTCCGCGGCCATCTCGAATCCGGAGCCGGTCCTGCTCTTTCTGATTATTTCCGTAAAGGGGAGCGAGATCGACATAGGAAGAAGTCTCATTTATGCTCCAGTCCCGATGTGAAGTTCGGAACACACTGGAAAATGAAGAGTCAGAACCATTTTTAAAATTATTTGAAATGTGTTCGTACCTGTGGATGACGAGCGTCGCGAACGAGAACATCAAAGAGGACAAACCACCGGGATGTTTCTTGAACTGAAAAGGCGAATTTAATCAAGAAGACGGTCTGCATCTAAATGGTAATTCTTACTCCTTGTCTTCGTAGAAGTCTATTGTATAAGATTGAGCCCCTTATCTAATATAACAAGGGGAGAATCAATGAACGTACGTGTCAAAAATTAGCCCAGGGTCTGGAAGCTGGTTCAGAGGCAATGGGTGCGCTTGCTGAACCGATCTTGAATATGGAGTGCCGGCCTAATCCGCCAGTGAGATTAGCACAACCGATTGGGTAAATATTGAGTAAATACGGACCTTTCCCATATCTGGAATATCAATATTGTTGTACGATCCATCCGCAGTACGCCAGGCATACTTGTTGCTAATGCTCGTCGCAGCAGGATGCGCTAAATCGTTGTACACTAATACCCACATTGTCAATGCCAGGTTGAGGAGAATAGAATTCAGATGAACGGACATAATTGAATGATCTTGTTCCTCATGGTCTGGGCAAAGGGGCCTTCATCGAGTCGGGAGACGAACACAAGGGCGTGTTCAAGCTTAGAATTAGGTGTGCATGAGACAACTGTTGCACTAGATGCTGAGAAATTTTACCAGCAGTTTTCTGTCGTCCAAGGACTCCTTGTTTCTAATGAGGTCGACTATGGCGGACTGGGCGCAGAAATTGTTTCTTCATGATCTTTTCACCAGAGAACGTGCCGACGAAACTCACGATAGCAGTAGTGTTCAGGCTGATAGGGCCGCCTCTTTTGATCTAGGCCGACCAGGGATGTTCAAATGTGTTCATGGGGTGGAAAATAAGGAGCTTACCTGCATGCGAAAATCCTGCAAAATCTTGGGCACATTGGTACCATTGACGCTTTGATATTCCTTATCGACATCGGTGGTTCCATCGGCCTGCGATTCATATTGGACGTGGTGAATATGAACAGAGGGCTTGCGTACTTACCGCGCTACCGTTTGAGCGAGAGAAGATCGAGGACAACCGAATCGTCGACATTGTGGGAGAGAGGAATAGAGGGAGAGGGAGACTGGCTTTCCCATGACCGAGCTAACGAATTTATAGGGCGCAACGCAACTCCGAAACTTGGCTCCCTGAAACGCGCTGACAGCTAACATGCCGCCTATCTGCCTGCTTAGTATGGAATCAGGGGGACCGCATTCGCCTCCCATGACGCGAATACTAGGCGAACAAGGTTTGGTTGACACGATATACGGTCAATCTCATTGGTTCGTTTGTCGGGCGGCCTCGAGGCGCATGACCAGTGGCGAGTTATTCGGCTTCCGACAGGCAACCCTTGCAGAGTCAAGAACCAACATCTATGGGACATCTGGAAGGGAAGACAGTTAGAATGAATCAAGAAGTGGTCAACAATCCGGCACATGAAAAGGAAATGAAAGATCGGAGCAGAGATAACTCGCCACCCATTCGGTCCTGCGACGTAGCGTACACTCATGGGACTGACATGCGCCAAGTTCAGCGCTCAGTCACCGATTAACCTTTAGATTGACCAAATAGCATTCAGTCGCCACAAGCTCTCTAAGACCGTCTTCTATTCCATAGAAGCGAAGTGGCAAATTTTGCTCGCCTGACATATCTTCTCAGGTCGAAGAACGTTGGATGACTTCGAGGGGGACTTGTCCTAGGGGGTTACAAAAGTTGCGCAATACATTGTCATTGATCGTGTAGGCAAGAGCAAGTGAGTATTTAAGCTGCTGCTTGAGGAGGTGTTGCGTAGGCTGCCGCGAACTGGTCGAAAAGAGCAGACTTCTGCGCGACATCCTGAACAAGGGGATGTGATGGATGTTCAGAAGCAAACTTCCTAGCGATACAGCTATCAGTACCAAATTGACTGATACAAAATCTCGGAATGCATACAACCACACTTCTTCTGCATCTGGTTTCTTCAACGCGCCAAGACCAGCAGCAACAACGTAGGCGGCTTGCGCCTCTTCATCTCCCTTTTGTTGTTCAAGCGACTCCTCTAGGTCGGATTTTGCTTCTTGGATCTCCCCACGCAGGATACGAATGACTCCTCTAGCAGTGAGAAGATGAGGAGACGACAAAGAAGGATTGCCCAGTTGTTCCGTGTAAAAGGAACTCGAATTCGCGTAACCGTCCTTGCCAGTCACTAGGCCGATGGTAGATTCGATAAGTTGTAGCAGCAAGTCATCTTCTGCCCACCGCTTTGACCGGTCGAATTGTTTCTTGGCCAAGTCAGGGCGGTTTATTGAGAGGTATATCTGCACAATTACAGCGACACTGAAGACGTGGAGACCGTCAAATTCAGGGGGGGAGGGGGGAAGTAACGCAAAGCAACGCACGCTTCAAGGTCCTCCGTCTCTGATCCCAACGTCTCCAGAGCTTCCTCGATTTCCCCTGCTCGTGCAAACGCAGTGCCAGCAAGAACTTTGACAAGAGCCTTATCCTTATCACTTCCTTCAACATCCTCGCCTTCAATCTCAACGGAAAGATCGCGGAGTTCTTCTAGAGCAGCTTCCGCCTTAGTGGAATCAGTCGAGCCAATATAGCGCGCTAGCGATACTACAGCTTTTAATGCAACATTCTCCGAGCCGTCTGGCACGAGTTTCAGGACCGATTTTGGGTCATTGAGGGCGATGTAAGAGCGGGCCATAAGAAGAAGAATAGGCGTGAAGTCTGACGAGGAAGTCTCTGGGAGGGGTTGCTGGGCAAGCGCCTTGTATGCCCCTACGACGCATTCAATTAACTCATGCTCAAAGCGACATAGAATGCAATCTTACCAAGAGTAAATTGCTGCTTAGCGTGATAAAGCTCAGACGATTCCATGATGCCTCCTTGCCGTGAATGAGCCGTATTGCTTTCGGTGGAATCGGTACTTGAACTATTAGGTCTGTCCAGAGAGACTAGGCTGAGCGTGGACCAGGTCGACGTGGAAAGTAGCGATTATGTAAGGTGTCTCGACGCGACAAGGGTGGTGTGACCCCTGACGTTCCTCATTAATAAAACATCATCAGCTTCGAATCGACGACTCACCATCCCAGACGTCTATTACTCTGAGAACGCGCGAAATACGGCGCAGAGATGGCCCGTAAGCACTATTCAACAGTTCTTTCTGGCTACTTATCTCGTTCTTTGTTACTATCGAAGTGCCTTCAAACCTGAACAGGAAAGCCGTGGAAAGCACCTTTCAGCCTTGTGGAGAATATGCCGACGATGAGAATATGCTTCTCATTGACCAGAAAATACAAGACCACGAAACTTCTATCTTGAAATTGAAGACGCGACGGAATACCTTTTCGCCCATCCATCGGCTTCCTCCCGAGATCTTCTGCCGGATATTCGAATTCGTTCGCGAGAAAGACATAAGACCTCCGTTGGCATGGATTAAAGTCAGCCATATCTGTAGGTACTGGAGGAACATGGCTGTGAATGCTCCATGTCTGTGGACAGCGCCTCCTCTCGGAAACAGGGAATGGGCACGCGAGATGTTCGAACGCTCAAAGACGGCATCCCTAACGATTCATGCCAACCTCGAGCGCAATCATACGGGCACTCTAGAAAATCTTGAACTCGCACTTCACCATGCATGGCGTCTACGGCATTTTACCCTCAGTTATAGCCACGTCCCGATTCAACGCGTTTTGGAATCCTTTCCTCGTTCGGCCCCCCGTCTTGAATCACTCGTCATCTATGACGGCCCTCGATATTCCTTAGCTAGCTACCCGCCTTTCAAACTGGCTGATGATTCATTCTCCGACACAGATCGCCTCCGTCGATTAGAACTCGTGAAGGTTGAGGTCAACTGGGATTCTCATCTTCTTAGCTCCCTAACTCACCTGAAATTGGATGACATATCCTTCGGAGGAAGGCCTCTGACTACTCAACTCCTGAATATGCTACGGAGGATGCCGGACTTGGAGGTGTTAGAATTAAGGAATTGCCTCGCGTTGGATGAAGGCCACGAAGACCCCGAATCGTCCAAGAAACCTGTCCTCCATCTCGCTCACCTTCAATCATTGAATTTAACCGGTACACATTCAGAATTGGAGCCGCTTCTCCGTCGCATATCGGTCCCTCCGACAGCCAATATCTCATGTCTGGCCTCGGGCGGTCGTAACCCGGAATTCACCAAATTTATTGCTGCGCTTTCAGCAGTTCGTGTAGCATCATCCAACACCGAACACGCTCCAGTCATACGAGCACTCCATATAACAAGTCCTAATCCCGCGAGCCTGCGTTTCCAGGTGTACTCGGAAGTGCAGCCTGACTTCCCTTATTATGGCCCCCACTACAACGGCAAGAAACCCTATACTGAGGTCGGTCTCGCCTCTGGGTCGGTCTTTACAACTCCTCAGGTGGAGCAGTACCTAAGAGCCATGTACAGTGTGCTACCGTTGGCGAAAATCGTCAAGCTACAAATATCTATTCCTTTCAACTGCGTCGACCTTGGCGCTCCTGCGCTGTCAGACACATACGGCACCCTACCAAACCTCCAATCGGTTTGCATTATTGGACACTCAGCGTCCCTTTCGATGATAAACGCAATGATCGCAGAACCTGCAGAACAAACGCCAAACACCGGAGCAGGCCCAACCTCCGTGTCCTTCTCGCCTCTCCAATCCATCATTTTTCATGACATCGAGTTCTACACCCCTATCCATGGGGAAGCCCAAGTTCTCACCATCGAGCGTATGAAGGACTTCCTCATTGAACGGTATGAACGGGGTGGGGAAATACAGCGGCTCGAGTTTGTGGAATGCACGCGATTGTGTTTGGACGATGTTGAGGACCTCAGGGAGATTGTGGTTGATGTTGAATGGGATCAGGTACAAATGGGATTCACGGAAACAGAAGACGACGAAGACTATCTCGATTATGCAGACCCATATGATTATTATGGTTCGGACAGTGACGAATACTCCATGTGGCCTTTTGGCTTTTAATTACTTCAATACGACAGCGACTGCATGGGTGAGGGGGGCGACAAGATCTGTATTATTTTATGGATGTAATATTTTAATGATGGCAATTCTCGGGTAGTCGTGGTGTACAAATTCTCCTCACTGTAGTGTCCTTTAACTTCTTTCGTTCGCCACACCTACGGCGTCATTTCCTTGGATCTTAATTCTCTTGAACCTTCTAGTCGATATCGCTTGTTGCTATATTATTAACAGTCCGCAGGGAAAAGAGCTGGAATAAGGACGCTGAGGACCCAAGGTATTACACCACCCCCTACCAAAGAAATATTCTTCCAAAAGAAAAACACTCTGCGAAACAAACGGAAAAATGAAATAATACGTGGAGGACAGCATCTAACCCTACCTAGATGCCGAGAGCGTTGGAAGAGTATGGGCAGCAGGCAGGGGGTAGAAGATAGGGTGAAAGGTATAACAAGAGTAAGGAAAGAAGGGGACCGCACGAGATGGCAATAGATCTTTTTTACGTTTCTTCCGAGATGTCTGTATAATCACAAAACAACAAGAACATAATAGATGTACGATACAGGGGGCGTGCAAGTGGGAAGGAATTTCATGACAATAGGCTAGGATTCGGGCGGCGTTCATTTGTTTTTCGCGATGTCTCGAGCTGCTTTGATTAAAGGAGCCAGAGTCCGAAGAGGTTCTGAGAGTTTAAAGAATGGATGCTAAAAACCAAATCAACAGATCGTTCGTAGCATGCACCGAGGACAAGCTTACCTGTAGGAGTTCCGTGGCATTTGGCCGCTTCTCGGCGTCGACTTCGAGAGTCTTTGCCAGGTAATCAGTAAACAGGGGAGACAGGTTCTCTGGGTTTGCGATGGTTGGGGTGCCGTTGGTTGCGATTAAGTACAAGGCCTTGAGCGGGTTCTGATTAAGATATGGTGGTTCTCCTTCAATCATTTCTACGTAAAAAGGGAAATGAGACAAGATAGATGATACCTCCAGTTTATGAACGTACCAATAGCCATGATACCTAGACTCCATATGTCCACCTTGGGCCCGTACTCCTTCCGGGTTACGACCTCAGGTGCCATCCAGTAAGGGGTGCCAACCATAGTTGTTCGTTTGGCATGAGCAGGGTCCGAAATTTGAGCACAGAAACCAAAGTCAGCTGTGAAGAGAGCAATTGTTGACGTTCTTCCTTCAGACACCATCGACGAAGCCGCATCATGACAAAGTAAAAAGGGGCGACTTACTCAGCTTGATATCCCCAACCATGCTCAACAAAACATTGTCACTCTTAATGTCGCGGTGAATGACACCGTGTCGATGAAGGTGTTCCAAACCTTGACACGTCTCCCTCGATACCGCCGCAATTTGGCCCTCGGTCATCAAGTTGGCAGTGACAACATCAGTCAGCGAGCCACCCTCCATGTATTCCATGACCACCCAAAGATCGTTCTTGTACAAGAACGAGTCGATGTAGTTGACGATGTTAGGATGTCGCGATGACCGCATGACCAGAATCTCGTTAATGATGAGATCTTTCTTTGGCTGCTTATCGAGGTCCATCTGCTTGATGGCCACTGAAAGATTCGTGCCAACCTGATATGCAGTATACACACCACCAGAGGCACTGAACATAAACGCAAATTGTAGTTAATGTTCTGGCGAAACGCGTTTCACAGAATGAAAACAACGCACCCTTGACCAATTTTGACGAGGTTGCGGTACAACCGTGTCGGATCGGCATCCGTGCAAATGGCCTGCAGACGTTTGACGATGTCCTCCTCCTTGGCCTTGTCGACCTTCTTCTCTCTCCGACGCGGAGTCGCCACACCGGAGACCTTCGCGAGGCTCGAGGCTGCAGGGCTTGGAGTTTGATTCTGTGCCTGGGCCCGCGGATCAGGACGGTCCCTCGCCGCGGACGATGCTCCATGCTGCGCAGACTGCTGCGACTTGAGAGGAAGATCTGATGAAGACGACCCGGGTGAAGGTTTCGCGGACTGTGACTTGTGCTGGCCGCTCGGTGTCTGGCCACCAGGTCCTTGACCTGGTGCCGGGGATCGTCGATCACGTGTTGTGTTTGCCCGACCAAGGTCTGAAGATTTGGTAGGCTTGCTCGGAGCGCGTTGCGACGTCGACCGATCAAGGACTGTTGTTGCAGCGGAGGGAGGAGTAGGAGCTGGCCGGTATGCCGTTGGTGCAGTAGAAGGATATCCTGAGGGTTGCGGCCCCTGTTTGTGCTTCGGTGGCGGTGGTGGCGAGCGCTAATTGTCTTCGATTTAGCACTGTAGTCTACGAAAAAAGGGTCAAAAAAAAACTCACTGGGTTTTGGAAGCTGTCATCAATCTTGGCCTGGAGGAATGAGATGTCTTGATTTCCACCGACATTGCCCAGTTTGTCCCAAGGATCACCGTGACCCTCTTGATAAAACTTCACAATCTCCATAACAGCTTGAGGGTTCTTCTCCTGCTCCAAACGCGATATGCCGCTCTCCTGAAGGAGCTGCTGCCACTCCTTAGGGAGGCCGGTGAACTCGCCAGTCGATGAGTTGAAGCCAACGTGGGTCAGATGGACGGGATCGTAAGGAGTGCTGATTTCAGGGCGCTTCGTGGGGTTGAACATCTCGGACATCAGCCCCAAAACACCCTTCTTCGCCTTCGTTGTGCCACTACGCGACCTGAGCCTGGAATTGCCACTCACGGGGCTCTGTGCGTTGATATCATTGGACGGTCCGGATGGGAGAGATTCGCTGGGATCGGCGTAGAAATGACCGTCGTCGTACATCGGAGTTGAGGGTTGCGACAGTCGACGAGCAGCGAGTTGCGATGGATTGGGGATGATGTCATTTAGATTGGCTGTGTTGGCGCGAGATGGACGCGGAGGAGGTGAAGTTCCAGTCGCCATCGGGCCTAACTTCTGCGACTTGTGGTACTGAGAAAGGGGTGGGTCGTTGGTGTTTGCGGCGAAGGGATCGTGGTCGATACGAGGGGCTGGAGGAGCTGATGTCAGGCTGTGCTTGCGGGCGCGGGGGTTGGGCTTCTGTAACGAGTTACGGACCCTTGGTGGAGTTGGTGTCGGAGCCGTGGCGGGTGGTGGTGGAAGGGATTCCGTGGGAGTCTTGGGTCGATAAGCGGACTGAGGGGGTGCAGGCGCCTGCCTTGACGGAATGAACGCAGTGGACTTTGCAGCCTCGACGGCGTGGTCAGCGAGGAGAGCCTGGTATTCCTGGATGGATGCCCGTGACGGCAGGTGGTATTCGACCGTTTTTGACTGACGGTGGGGCTGGTTGGTAAACGAGCGTTGATTGATTGCACTTTGGGGAAAGGACATATCCTGGCGGCCGGGAAGGAAAGCGATGATCGACGGTTCAAACTGAAGGGCTCTGGCGTCCTGCCTGCTGTCTGGGGGCTGTTCCGTGTCAAGAGACGCGACGAAGAGGGCGACGGCGGGGTAAACTGGGCTCGGGGGATTGCGAGATGGAACAACAATCTATGATGCAGCAACGCGAGGCCTGTGAATGGGCCGGATGGCCGTTGTCACGGATATCAATGATGACGACCAGGAGAAATGTGCTCACGGTCACGACCACTGTGCCTTGAAGCGCTAGTCGACGTCGGACACGACGAGGAGAGGGAGCAGTGAGGGGGAAAAGCTGGTGGTAGTGGCAACGAGGAGAAGGCCACTAGCGCAGAGCTCAAGCGACTTTAGCTTCCTTTGCAAAATTGCTAACTTGTGCATATCTGCCCAACACGTGACGTCACACCGCGTTATTTCCGGTCAACTGCCCGGCTCCGGGCAGGCATCCTCCCCCAATCCTGCACGATTTAATACTTATATTGCACATCTGACTTCGCGAACACAGTCACAGGCCGTCCACTGCGCTGCGAATTAATTCTGGGGTTTTTCGGGCCTTTCGGTTGGCATTTCCGAGCTACCTTATGGCGTATTAGATAATTAACGATAATTGGCCGGCTCCCACCTGCCTATTACTTACACCCATTTCATCTCCGACGGAAGCTTTCAGCCTCACCCACCATGGATACCTTTGTCCTCGGTAGATCTTCGCTTTCCCTAACAGTCAGAATTCGTCCAGGTATCCTGTCTTTTTCTCCAACCATTTCGACTGCTAACTATCCTTAGATATTAGTCTGGCCTTTTGGCTTTGTGTTTTTCTCTAAACTACACCCTGCGTGCGCAGTCCATATGCATCCGGAAGCTCCACATGTACGGTCAATTTTCCAGAACCTGATCGAGGGTTCACTTCGTAGGCATTCTCAGGCCATGGGAGGAGGCACCCGGGAACCTCTATCTACCTTTCCTGGCAGACCATCATATGACACTCACGGGGACAGCTGTCCTTATTCCGTCCTTGGAGGAGCCTATCACGGACATAAATAGGGCCTCTGACAATTCAAGTTTCAACGACTCCGACAACTGTGAGTATTTTTTCTCCTCTACCATCAAGTCTCGGCATTTCGTCTTTCAAAACTCACAAGCCCTCGCATTTTCGAGAGCATCTTGTGATGGGC